AATATCATTGCTTGAGCTCATATCTGAGAAAATCCATTTTTCTCTTGCTGTGAAAAAATTAAATACTCATATTTTAGTTTACAAGTAATTAAATAGTTATTTTCTGTGTCAGAATTAAAAGAGACTGGTAAAAACTGAGTTTTGGGAGGTTTCCCTGAGGTTTTATTAAGTTTTTTTTACATTGATTTATCTCCAGTACCTATTGGGAAAGATTCCAGAATTTCTTGCAAAACAGAAGAGGACGTATCAAATTCTTTCTTGGAAAGAAAATCTCTAAACAAAGTGCTAATAATATATTCCTAAGTACAAGAATAGCTCAGGAAAATAGTCAAATTAGGCATAACCACTTCTCTGGATTGAAACTTCAGTTAACTTTACAGTGAATATCTCCAGAATAATCATTGGGTTTTGACTTTTCCTTCCCTGCTGCAGTGACTGTGAAAACACTGCCTCTGTGTTGGCACTGGAGGCATTGCTTTCAAAAGACAAGGAGATTTCCTGATGCTGCCAAGTGACTAGAATGAGTTGGGGCTTTCCAAAATTGCCACTTTTCAGAGACTCCTCAGACACATGTGGCCTCAGCAGGTGGGAAAGGTGAGGAGCTGGCTCTGGTGTGTGCCTCTCTCTGGTGTGATGAGGCATGAGCTGGGGTAGCTTTGGGGCCCTGGATCCCACACCAGGCACACTGGAGCCCTCACAGCTCTGTTTTCCCACCTGGCCATGCATTTTTATTTCTGGCCTTGGGGAAACTGAAGGGGAGAGCATATGCTGGTCTAATCCTGAGCTTGAGCAGCAGGGACAAGCACAGGGTGTCTATCTAAGGGTAGGAGCTCGAAAGCATCCCCATGCTGAACAGCTTTTCATAGAAGCACAATTCTGGTCCATTTATGGGATAATTTGATGTGAAATGGACTTCTTGAAGGTTTCTAGTCCAACCTCAAGGTTCTCAAGGAAGAACTGACTTCCAGGTTAGATGGGGAGTTGGGGTAGATCCCAGCTGTGTTCTGAGCTTCTGCAAGGATGGAGATCCCACAGTCTCTGTGTCCCACTTATCTGACTACCTGCACTGAGATGTATCTCTTTTTTTTCCTACTTCATACACTATTTCCTAAGATCTGTCACGGTCACAATTGCTTCTTGTTTTGCTGCCCATCTTGTGGAAGAGTCTCCCTGTTTCCTCTGTAAGTACCAGCAGGTAGATGCAGTCAGCAAATACAACCCTATTCAAAGCTTTTTCTCTAGGCTGAACCAAACCCAGTATTTAATGTGCTTCCTCCTACATCACCCTGGTCATCTCTATTGGACTTGCAGCATTCTCACAGACTGTTTAAAAATAGAATTGCACAGAAATAGGGATGTTTCTAGTGCTGCTACAAAAAGGAGAAAGATGAGTTCCAACTGCCCAAAATATAGAATTCTCTTAATATAAAAATATAACTTTATTGCATCACTAAAATGAAAGTGGCCCTTTGCAAGTTTGCCATGAAAAATCTGTATTTTAAAGCAACCTTTTGTTCCAGAAAAATTGAAAATTAAATTTGCAATGGATTTAAAAAAAAAATAAAGATGCAAATAGCAAGAAATGCAGGGTTTAGAGTGAAGAATGAAGCCTTAAATCTACCTTCTTGAGCATAAATTGTGTATTCTATTATATAATTTTAAATTATTTGCCATTTTGAAAAGGGCTTAATGGAGCTATAAAAATTTATGTCATCTGACTATCTGGCTCAGATAGTTGTGACCTATCTGCAACTGTTTTCTTGTCAAAAATTGCAGTACTTGCAGTTCAATTTAGTTGACTTCAGATTTATTTTTTCCCTGATGTAGGTCTACCATCAAAGTCAAGGCTGAAAGAAAAACTTTTTATTTAAAAATATGTGTTCTTTATCAGCTTGTTGGCTTTCATCTGGTTATTGGGGAGATGTGAATGTGACTTGGAGAACTGAACACTGCCAATAGTTTGGGAGAAGAAAATTTCTCTTGTGTATGGCCTTTGTACCCATGATGCCATTGGATGTTTTTGTTTCTCTTGTGGGATGGGAATTCCTGAAAGTCATCACTTTTGATCATTAAGTATTCTGGGTTGTTTTTTTTATGGCAAGACTCACCATGAATTAATGTATTTCCTCAGTCTGCCTGAAACCCAGATTGTTTTTTTGGGCTAAGATGACAATCCTTATTTCTCACCCAATTTCACATGCACATTGTTAACATCCAGAGGTTCCCTCAGTGATTCAGGGGGGCTCAGGAGCTCTGCAGTGTGCCCAGGAGAGGCAGGATCCTGGCTGGGGGCCAGGGAACATCTCCAGCTCTCAGCAGGCAGCTGTCTCTCTCCAGGAAAAAGTGCTCTAAGCTTTGAAGGGTAAACAACTAAAGACAAATGCATTTAATTCAAAGGAAAAAAAAAGTAAAACTCCAGCATACCAACCTCTGCTTTAAATAATTCATGTGTTTCTTGATAGACAAAAATATTTTTCTACCTTCAGTTTATTTTAAACTGGACTTAAAGAGTGAAGGAAAAGAATGTGCCAAAAGAAATCATTATTTTACTTTTTCAAAAAGCAGGAGTGACATAGAAAATAATTTGGCTTTGCTGAATGTTTAAATTATAATTTTAAGGACTGTCAGTAGTAAATTGAACTGTAATTGATGATTGACCACAAAATTCAGCATGTGTACTTTGATGTTAGCTATTGGAAAAAAAAAATCTGTGATGGGCCCATGTTTCAATTTAAAATTATGGAGATGGTTCTTAAATAAATGCATAATCCATGAATAAATTATGAATTATTTTTCTGGTACAGTGGTGTGTTTAGAAGTCTGTAGCTAAGGAATTAGTCACAAAGTTTTACCTTAAGGAGACTAAGTGATACAGTGAAAAGGAAAACTGATGACTTAAGTCAGGATCTGTGTAAAATAGTAACAAGAGTATTAGCAAAGAAGGTAATTCTGAAGGTGGAGTCCAGTCTTGAGCATTCCAGTAATCAACTTCCCATATGATTTTTCAAACTGAATATGTAAAATGCAAGAGAGAATGAATCTACTCACCATTTCAGTATACAAACCTAAGCTGTTATAAAAGTAGACACTTTTAATTCAGAAGCCTTATCTTGGAGTTGCTTTCTGTGGAGTGGTTTTGTGTGGGGGTTGTTTGGTTTTTTTCATGATCTAGAGTTAAGTCATGTCCTGTCTATGATTCTTTGGCTGCCCAGTGTCTCCTTCAATGTGGAAAGGTGATTTGGAAAATTGTCATCACAGCTTTGAATTAAAAGCTTTGTTTTGGGAAAAATATCTGAAGTTATTTAGAAACTTCCTAGAGACCTTTTCTTTTGTTTTTGAGACTAGCTAAGTTGGAAAAAAAAATGGTCCAGTGACCACTTGTTCATTCATCTGCATGTGCAGCTGCAAAATTATTTTCCTTGCTGTGCAACACTTCTTCCTAAATATAAGGTTTAGAGACCCTCTGGGAGTAATTAACTACAATGCAGAAGCAAATCTGAGTTCATTGTATGAACTGCTCATTTAAGGAATATTTTTGTGCACAAAGCCCATTTACAAGGTTCCAAAACCTTCATGAATGTTAAACATTTTATTATAGGATACTGAGCACTTCCTATTTAAATGAAATCTAATGTAATATCATTAATTACATCTAGCTTTTGATACCTGGATAGCAAATTGCTGTGTCAGATATGTGCCACAGTGCATTTAACGGCTTTTATTTTGTTATTTATTTAACAGTGACAGAACAGCTCTTTTCCTGTGGGCTGAACAAAAAGTTGAGAATATGCTCAAATGAAGTTGCCTGCTATTGATTTTATTCTGCTTACTGGTCCACTTTCATACCATTGCTCGACTAAGTGCTTTCAGACCTGTGCTGCACGTGGTTGTCAGGAGCTTAACCCCAATGCAGTAGAAGTGCAAAGCAAAGCTGTTGTTTCTCATCAGTTGTACAGGATTGGCAGTCAGAATTACTGAGTTGCTGAGGACATGATTTAACAGGACTGGGAATACATGCCCTTAGCATCAGTGGGTGCAGACACGTGCCTGAAGTCGAGAGTACATTCAATTTACCAGATTAGCCCAATGCATGAGGCTGAATGACCTCAGAAGAAGCAGCATGATGTTCTCTGGCTGGTGTTACATGGGCAGTCAGGGGTGGTAATCAGACTTGCCCTCACCATCAGCTACTTTGTTAAGTAGCACAAATCATGTGAGATGCTGTGAGGAAATCTGATCCTACTGTGCGTGGGATGAGGCTGTTGGGACAGTAGTCCTGAGCAGCAGATTGCTGGGATTAGGTTTACTGGCCTGTCTGTATGCTCATGATCAGCAGGAAGCAGCGGCACAAAAACAGATGAAAAGCAGAAATAAGTGTTAGGCTTTTATGAAAGTTTGCCCTTTCTTTTCTCTTAACTCTTTGTTGTCTGTTTGTTCCAGTAGGATCATTCAATGTTGCCTAATAATATTGCATCTTATCCACCATTCATTTCCCAATAGAAACTGAACTATAGTATTTGTTGTTGTAGGAGAGTTAATCATTAAGATCTGAGGGGTTTTACAACACCTTCATTTTACCTCGGAATATGTAAAATATATCCAAACCCTTCCGTTTTAGGTGATGGATTACCCTGTGCTTGGCTACGCTATCTGGATTGCTTGGAATTTTGTGCAATTACTATTTTACAGAGCAGCAAGAGTATCTGTGAAGTGGATATCAATTGAAACATATTTTGCTCTTCAGACTTGCTTTTGCAGGTTTCACAAAATATTTAATTAGTGATAATCAGCTTTTAACCAGCCAGAGCACACTGATGTGATTCTCTGCTTCTCTCCCCCATAATTTTAAGCATAGTCTGTATCCTTCAGATAAATTGCTTGCAGTCTGGAGAATGTCCTAGCCAGCAAGAGGGGGAAGAATAAGGATGTCAGTTGCATGGGGAATAAAGGTGTTGTGCATACTGTGGTTTCAGTGAATATCCTTTTCCTTTACTTTTCAGAATGGTGAACTTGGAAACCAGCTGGAGATTGCAAAGTCTCCTTTCCCTTGAGGTTGGTGGTCAGTGGTCATCCTCTACCACACCCAAGGAAACTAGAAGAGCTCCACACTAACTTCTGTAAGGTCTCCTTCACTATGGAAGATCAAATTATTTTCTGGCTCAGGTTTTGTGATGTTCGGCATCTGCCTTGGACCTGGAATTTGGAAAAGGGATCGTCTCTGAGGCACGGTTAAGAGACAGAGAAACCAGCCCCAGACAATGAGCACTTTAAGTAGCACTGGAATATTGCTCAGCTTAACAACAGTGTCTGTTACACTGGATTTTAGTTTGCATGGTGGTCTGATGGCTTGGTCCTTAAGCAGCAATTTGACTCTGAACCAGAGTTTGCCTACATCTGATCCTCTTAACACCTCTGAGAAGGATGAAGTCTCTCGGATGTCCCTGAGGGAGAAGAATTGGCCAGCCCTTCTGATCTTGGTTGTCATCCTGCTGACCATTGGGGGGAACATATTGGTAATTATGGCTGTGTCCTTGGAGAAGAAGTTGCAGAATGCCACAAACTTCTTCCTGATGTCGCTGGCAGTAGCAGACATGCTGGTGGGTATCCTGGTCATGCCCGTGTCGCTCATTGCAGTCCTGTATGGTAAGTGCCTTCCTTCCTAGTTTGAATATTTGCTTTTGCAGGGAGTCCCCTGAGGCTGCAGCAACCTGCTGTGCTGGTGGCTTGGGGAGTGTCAATGTGTACTTGGTCATGGGTCTGTGCTGAGGTTTATTCTCTGCTGGGAGCAGAGCTGGTGTTGACACTGCCAGGAGTGACCTGTGAATAATGTCAGACTGAGGGGGGTTCTTACTGCTGGGGCCACCAAGAGAGTCTGAGACAGCAAGTCAGCTTTTTACCTTTGGGTTGGGTTGCCCCAAAACTGAGCTAGGACACAAAAGCTCACAGAAAAGCTGAGGAGAGTGTTCATTGTTCATGAGCTGCTGAGCTCTAAGCCAAGTCTGTCCTTGAGCTCCCACTGCTACAATTGGGGGATTTGAGCAAAATCATGCATCAGAAAGAAAGTTTGCACTAGTAGATTTGGCATTCAAATAAAAACCTTCACTCCTGGCATTTGTACCTCAGTTTGCCTTGTGCCTTTCAGGGGGTTCATTGTGCCTTTCCGTGCCTCAGTTTCCCTGTCTCTAACCTAAGGATACGCTCTGTTTTAAAGCACCAAGAGGCCTGCCTGCATAGGTGTAAACATTTATTTGTTCCCATATCAGGGTCAGTGTGTTTGCAATGAAGTAGGGCATTGCTCTTACACTCAGGTATGGAATCACTGTTAGCACTTCAGAGAAGTAAGATACCAAATACATCTAACTTTCATCTGGCTGAGACTCCAAATCTCCAAATCCCTTTGTTCAGTGTGGTGCTAGGAGTCTCCATCCCTGGATATTTCAAAGGAGTATTTTGTTCTCCTCTTTATCTCTGATCATAATGTTTGTATGCTCTTGTATCAATTTTATAATCTGTGTATTTCATAGATAAAACTTTAAATTTTTGAAATCTGTTTTCAGATTTTCTTAGGTATTTTAATATTGATATTTCTTGGAAAAAATAATGCTGTTTACTTACAAATTTGATTAGAAATTGGTTTACTGTCCTATAAAGTAAAATGTAGGGATATTTATCTGACTTCTTCACTTGCCTAAATGAGTAAGTCTGGCAGAGATTAATTTCTAAAACACATTGATCAAGCATACATCATTCCAAAGCTTATATAGCTTGTCTACAGTGAGTTAAATCAATATGTGATTTAGGTACAGGCCTAGCTATGGAGATCTTATGCACAAAGGTCTTTTATTTTGAACTGTCAGAATAGTTCTATCTCTAAATCTTTTGTGTATTACAACATGTGTATTTTATTTTTAGCATTTTACTCCAGCTTCCTGGAGCTTGAAAGGGAGCATATAAATACTGAATTATGTGACAGACTTGCACTTGCATAAATTCTGTGTTAGCCAGTGACTCTAAAAGGGTGAATTTACAGAAATGGTCTTCCTACATACATACTTCCAAGGTCTTTGGAAACTAATAGGAATGGATTTTCTGTTCTGCCTAGAAAATTATTACCTAAGGTAGTTTAAAGGTGGAAAGCATGCCACCCTTTTAGCAGCAAGAAAGTATCACTGATTTGAAGAGGCATTGTAATTATCCTCCTTTTTTTGCCAGAGAACCAGAATTGGCTGATGATAGCCCAAACATTTCTCCACAGACAAAGAGTTTATGTAGATTTTTTGGCAAAAATTGTAATTTCATGGAAGATTTATGGAAATACTTTGAGAAATGAGGAGGCTTCTAGGGTAGTATGGAGTGTTGCAACAAAGCATGTTGCCTCCAGGCTTTGTGAGGGGAGGAGGAGGAAAAGTTCCATTTGGGAAAAAATGAGCCACACAGGAACTTGTGGATTGATCCCAGGAGGACACCAGTGAAATAATTTTTTTTATACTATTTAAGCTACCAATTGTGGAAGTAAGGAGAGGGAAAATGTTCTTCTATCACCAGAATTCTTGTGAGAATAACGAGGTGCATGGCCATGGACTGAGCAGGGAGAGTGTTACTGCTTAGAAACATCACTGTTAATGTTTAGTCACTTTTACTCTGTATATTTTACCTTATTCACTCCATACAGTCTACATAATTGTACACTGGGCTGTTTCAAAGGCTTCCATGTGCTGTACTGAGAAGCGTATGCAGCACATCTCTTCCAGATTTGTAGGAGTCACTTTTAATTTATGTAATCAGAAAAGAACCTTAAAAATACATATAACAAATAGAAGAGTGAAGAAATTACTTTCAAGTTTCCACATCAGCTCTCTCAGCCCCAAAGATAAATTCCAGCTGACAGAGTAACTAATTTCAGAGTAGGCTCATTTCCTTACTTTTGGCTAATAAGGAAAATGAAGTAGATTTCTCTTCAAGCATAACCAGAAAATTGAACAGACACTCCCCACAAATACTTCTGGGTTTTGGTGGTTTTCTTAATTAAAAGAAGGGAAAATCAAGTTGTAAATTAATTCAAGAATCTTATTATAAAGGAAAGGAGAGCAGGATGCAGCATGATGGATTTTTCACCAATTAATCAGGGCTTGGATATATTTATCAATTAGTCTTAAGTGTCTTACAGTAATCAATGAGTTGCATTTGACAACTGAGAATATTTTCCCTGGCATGCAGTTCCTAAAGAACTAAGCAAATTAGTCTGCTAATTAATAAGCATGTATTGGGGAGACTAAATGAGAAATGTACACAGCGTTTCATCTCAATGAAGAAATGCTTGATTAATTAAAATACTGGTATTTTATAAAAATATTGATAGGGCATCAGGTGTCTTACACGTGAGGGAGCTTCAGTGAACAGGTGGAGGTTGTCGCCTTATCTCTGAGCACTTTAGGGACAAGCAGCAGTGGGTTTACATTGTGTCATGTGTTTATGAGCAAGAAAGAGAAAGCTGGTGGAGGAATGCAAGAGAATCTTGTCAGCTGATCTGAGTTGCAGAGGATATTGATCTTTCTGGGTTCTTGCAGAAAGTTCACAGCTGCCAACAAGTTGCCAGAGTGTGTCCAAGGAGTGGCCAGCTGACCTCTCTTTAACTCCAAATGCAGGCTCTCTCTCCCCTTTGTGGTGACAGGGGCTGAGGCAGCTTCCAAAGGGCTGGTGTTGGAATGCAGCATTCATCAGGCGCAGCTGCCAGAGCAGATTTACACCCACATTATTGTTATTATTGATAATTACCATCATTATTGTGTGGCGACAGAGATGTGCTGAGCACTTGGGCAGATTTTGATGCTGGTTTCCCTGCAGAGAGGGGAGCAGTGCAGCTCAGCTCTTTGATGTGACATTCAGGTATCTGGAAATCATCAGGCATTTTAAAGACCATATCAAGTCATGGGTTTAAATGCATCTTGACTACACCAAGTTCCAGGTGACAGTTGCATTATATTCAGAAATTATTATTTATTCCTGTTAGTTTTAAATGTGTTATGTTTCTGTTTGTGCTAAGTAACTACTACATTTTATTCTTCTGCTAGGGTGTGAGTGAACTCCTATACTGCTTGCACTGTGACATAAATTCAGAGATGGGATTTTTTTTTTCTCTCCAATGATACCTTGTACCTGGGGTGTGTGCATTGAAATTTATATCTAACAGGAATTGTTAGTTTATCTTTTGCTATCAGTAGGATCCATAGGCTGCTACACTGTGTGCTCGCCCAGCAGCATTTATTCTCTTTCCAAGTCCCTAAGATTTCTTGTCGCTCAACTAACCTAAATAATTCTGTGAAATCTGAAATCCTACTGCATCATTATTCACCCTCTTTCCAGATTATTAGAAGCATAGGAAACTTTAGTTGAGATATTGAGTGTCCTGCTACTGAATTTTCTCCACATGAACAGCTGCCTGTTTACCTAATGTGAAAAATGGGAATTAAGTTGTGGTGCATCTGTGTTGTTGTTGAGAAAGAAAGCTCTGTATGATATGCCTTGAATCCACAGAACAGCTTCTTTTCTGCTACCCAAGGTTTAAATTGTGCTTAGAGTGAGAGGAGGGGGGAATACTAAATGGATACTCTCTGTACCTCATTGACTATGGGTTCCTGGGTGTAAATATCTTGAGGCAGCTAAATGTTAACTTGCAGGATTCTTCAGAGCCACTGGAAATGTGGCAGCCTATGATGATTCTCTGCTGGAAACAGCATTAGGAACCTACACAACTTTGGCTTGCACTGATGGAAAACTGATGGCTTCTGGTCAAGTGAGAGTCAAAGGATGAAGGGCTGAAATCAGCACAAGAGCTCAGGACTGGAGAGGATGATGATACCAGTCAAGAGGAAAGAGTGATGCTCCACACCCTTTCTCAGCAGTGATTAAATCTATTAAACCTATATTTGCATCTCTCTCTTCTGAGTCAGAACTTTTAATTGTCATATTGAAAGCTAGATTTGCTTCACACACATAAATTTCCTCTTCATCTAATTTTTAATTTTGTCCGAGATTATCTACACTTTATTGTCTGGCTTTTTATCTAGGTGCTGTGGGGGGGGAGGGAGAGGGGGTTGGTGTTGGGGTTTTTTTGTTGTTGTTGTTTTTTGTTTGTTTGTTTGTTTGTTTTTACTTTTAATGTTGGACAATAAAGACCGGAAGCCAAATGAGTGAGGAAAGTGTCATTATCTGAGGAGTGCAAAGCACACAGAAGGAAAGACCATGGTGCTCCATAGTACTTTAAAATCATCTTCTCACTAGTCTTATTAAAGCAGAATTGCTTTTAAAAGTTGTCAGAGCAATTCAACTTATTGTATACTTTGTTATTCTTTCTCGTTATTTTGATGTGTGTGTTGTAGTGATGTCTTGTCTGAAAATCTCCTCAAGATTTTTATATGCTTCTCTTATGAAAGACAAGAAATAAAATTTGATATTTGCAGAATGGCACCAATATGAGATGGATACGGTCATTTGGACTTTATATATGTGTGTGTGTGTGTATATATATATATATTCTTTCCTAACTGATGAAATTTCACTAGTTCATCCATGCAGCAGCCCCATTCCCAGGACTTTCTCAACAGGCAGGCTGTGTATGGCTCTAGTGCAATATTCTCCATTGAGATAAATACTTCATATGAAATTAGCAAATTAACATTAATGTTTTCTACTCCTTTCCATTTCTTTCCTTTTGTCTCAATTAGTTTCATAAAAAAAATCTGCTAGACACTGTTCTAGAGGCATGTTGCAGTTTTATAGTAGTTGTGCTAAAAACCCCAAAACCAGCTTGTTAGCCCTGATGAGGTGTTGGAGGTTCATCAGGAATGAAGAGGAGGCAGAAATGGTGTCAAAACATGGATGCAGTTAAGCTGTTCATGTGGACACAGGTACCCTATGATACAGACACAGTGTTTAAAGCAGTTTTTATTTTCAGTGAAGTAAAATGTCACCAAGTAACACTTGTACTGTGTAGCAGTGGAATTTTGAAGCTTTATGTTTAAGAAATTGTTTAAAATATTGCAGTGGTTTGTCCCTCTTCACCCCTGTTCAGTTTTCCTAATAGTCTCTCCCCAAAGTTGTTTTTCCACCTGTTTTCCCACCTTTCCCTGTGTCAGTCCTGGGGTATATCTCCCTTATTTCCAGACCCTTCCCTGTCTATCTTCGAAATCCTGCCCCTGCAGCTTGTCTGTCATTATTTGCTACACCCATTTATCTGAAAGCTTCCCTGTCAGTTGTGTATTTCCTTTCACTCATTGGCACGTTATGTATACAATCTCCCCTTCCCTATCTGTTTTATGTTATTTTGCCTCTGCCTTTGCTTCGAGTCGTTGCACTGTGTCACCCTGTGCCGCTGCCCTCCTGCGCAGGGAGAAATAAAGACTGCTTGGAGACACAAGCAAGGGTCCTTCCCCCTTCCTTTACCTTGACATGGGTCCACTTTTATTGGAAGTTATTAAAAATGAAAATTTGCCCAGCCAAATTTAAAAATAAAAAATAAAATATTTATTTGCAATCCAATTCTATCTAGCCAGCCACAAGGAAAGAACAGAGCCGAGCCCAGGGTCGGCCCTGGGTGTACAACAAGGAGTCTCCTGGCACAAGTGGTTTTTATAGGGAAAATTCCACCTAAGGCCAAGATTTCAGCAATCAGTCTTTTCTTCTATTCAGAGTCCATATGTTAATAAAATTTTCTTTTTTGGTGATGAGGGAGAATATATTCGATATAAAGCTACAGAGTGTGTATATAAAGAAACCAGTTTATATATATATATATATATTCTAATTCCCCACATTCTAGTATTCACCTGGGATTTTATGGTAAAATTTGTGGGTTTCTTTCCCTTTATTTGTTTTAATTATTCGTTTATCCAGCACCCACCCAGTAGGTTTTTCCCTATAACACACATACTAAATTTATTTGGGTTATAACACAGTGAATTAGCTTGAAAATAAGTGACAAAGACCAACTCCTGCTTCTTACCAATCTATAAAGTACAATTGTATTTGTTATAAACTGAAATTGAGATTTCCCCTGTGCTCCTTCAATGCAATTTATGTGCTGACTGTCCGTTTTCAAGATATGTTTTTGGTTTTTCTTTGAATTTGTATGCCCCCTGTTGAGTGTTTGTTTTAAAACAAGGTTTATTAGGCTTACCCTCACTGCAGTACCATCGGATAAGGAGTACTGGACCTTCTGGGTACCTGCACCGGGTCCCCCTGTCTCAGGATTAGGAAGGTTACTGAGGCACGAGGCTAGACTCAGGCTCGCCAGGACTACTCCCACTGCTAGGATCCCTCTGCTGTTCCCAGCACCCGCTGGGGTGCCTCCAGCGGTGGGGTAAGCCATCTTTTTGGCAGCAGGAATCTTTGTCTGTGGTTTTATGCTAAGGCCGAGCTGCATACTTTCACTAAAAATTGCCTCAGTAGTTTAACAGCATCTGTGCTGCAGGGTACCTTGTTCAACCTATGGCACTCAACAGTAATAATTTTAGCATTGCTTGTAACTTCCCCCCTTAATCTGTTTTGATATAAACAAATCCAGATTATTAAATCTAATTGTAACAATCTCAGCCTTGTGGCTAATACCAGAAAACGGCTAGTCAGGCCTTGTTCCTGTTTAAAGCGCCTTGCCCACAATGTCCTATTCCTCCCCAACAATGAGTAAACTAAACTTTATTACAGTATTCACAAGTGAAATGTGCAAAGGGATAACAGTTAGACTCTGGCACAGAGCATTTGATTCCTGGAGATCGACTTTCTTCACTCTTGATGCGTCTGTCTGCCCCTTTTCTGCAGTTTGTATAGCAGTATCTGTAGTTAAAAGGACAATGTAGGGTCCCTCCTAATGAGGTGTGAATGTTGACTCCCTTTATGCTTTTACCAGTATTCTGTCTCCAGGCTGTATTTTACTTATTGCTGTATCTTATATATCAAGAAACCTGGGCGGGTGGGGTGCTGTGCTGCATGATCACCCCCCTTGAGATTCTTATTTAATGCTATATCAGGTATGGTCGTATCTGTCCATTCTCTACTCCCAGATGCCCTACAGGCATACCATGGGTATAAGGTATCCCATGTAACATTTCAAAAGGTGAAAATTCCATTTCAGAATGAGGCATAGTTCTTACATTTAATAAGGCCAATGGAATGCATTTTATTTATGACATTTGTTTTTAACATCAGTTTGGCTAATTGGGCTTCTAACATTTGATTAATTCTTCTGACTGGCCCAGAACTCTGAGGGTGCCACGGGGTGTGATAGCCCCACCGAATACCTCTGATAATTTTTGAAATAAAATGTCTAACATTTGATTATACATTCATGAATCAGTCTTTTTTCCCATGTGTTTAGCAGACCTCTTTCTTCCTAGATTTTCCCAAAGGTGTGTACTACCCCAAATGCATATTTGGAATCAGTGAAAATTGTCCCCTTTTTCCCAAGAAGTTTAATAGGGCTATAGTTCCTGCCCTTATATCTTCCTCCTTAGGACTAGCCACCAATAGATCATCTACATATTGCAACCCTTTTGTCCCAGGAACTGGCACAAACTCACGTAATAATTTTTCAAGGGATTGGCTAAAAAGATAAGTCTACAAACCCTTGAGGGAAAGAGGTTTATCTTAATTGCTGTTTTCTTTGTGTCTCCAGATCTTCCCACTAGAAGGCAAAATAGTCCTGACATTCCTCAGCTAGAGGACAAGTCCAAAAAGGCATCCTTTAAGTCAGTTACACTATAATAGAGTATAAGGATTAGAGACCGTGGGTGACTGCTATCAGGTTTTGTATTGCCAATATAGGTGTGTTATGTCTGGACATGCGGGGTTCTAAGGTGCCCCTTTTTATTAAATCCTCGATTATTGGTTTCAATCCCTTCCTTCCCTCTAGAGGGATGGGATACTGCTTTACCCTTATGGGGTCTTCTGGTCTCTCAATTTCAATGTGAATTGGTTTCATGTCTAATTTTCCAGCTTCCCCTGGAGTGTGCCAGACCCTAGGATCAATTTTCTTTTCATCTACAGTAGTTAGGTTGTATAAACTTACTATGTGCTGTGAGTCCTTTGCAATTATACTTATTCCTAATATTACCATTAAATCTCTTTCTAATAAGTTATAATCAGCTTCCTCTATCAATAAAATATCACCCAAACAAATTTTATTATCAGATTCAATTTCTACATCTTTTGCGACAAAAGGGTTCCTTTTTGCCACAATCACAGTCATAAAAATCCTTACCTTTGATATATCCAGGAGGCAGTCGTTGGACTGTGGTTCTTGAATAAACTAGAAAGATTTACAGTGAAAGCCTTGAGGAGCACTTACCTGTTTTGTCCTTTGTCCCGGCTTCCCTGGGGGCTTTTGAGGTAGTGCCGGTTTTTCCGGTTTTCCTGTTGTTTGGGCTTGCTCCTGTTTGTTTGCTTTTCTGATTTCTGCTACTAATATCCTGGCTTGCGGGTGTTTTGTTGGGGTTTTTTGGGTTGTTTTTGTTTGTTTATTTGTTGTTTTTTGTTGTTGTTGTTGGTGGTGGTTTTTTGTTTTGTTTTGGTTTTTTTGTTTGGTTTTTTTTTTTACATCCCCCGTATGGGAACGTTTACAGATCTGATGACTCTGGGGGTGGCTGGGACTCCCTTAAAGAATGTATAGATTAGGTTTGTCCCTTTCATTATCGCTGCCCTCTGTGTTTTCTCTCCTCGTCTTACACTGAATTCTACTGGCGGGAGGAGATGTGTTTTTCCCCTGGGAGAAGTGTGTGTGTGTGTGTGTGTGTGTGTGTGTGTGTGTGTGTGTGTGTGTGTTTCCCCGTGTTGTGTGAGATGAGGGGGGAAGGTTGAGAAGGTCTCGGCATGTCTGCAGCTGATATTTGTGCATTAGGGGCGATGCAGACTGATCTGGAGATGGGGGGGGGACTGCCGAGAC